CAGTGAACACAGGGAGGACTGGGCCAGTGTCTGTCCCCATCCTCGCCAAAATGGGGACCAGGGCCGTGTGGCTCCTTTTTGCACACAGCCACAAGCTGTTGGGCATGCACTGCTACAAGTGACTACCTAATGAATGGCAGCCATGGGGGTAGTGAGCGAAAACTGGCTGTGAATCCAAAAGGTGCTTAACCTCTAGGCCTGCACATGCTCAGGGCCCCAGAGGCCCAGTTCCCTCCTCCCAGGACTGGCAGTCCCAGCATCCTGAGTTACTATATGTGAGGTGTGTGTGAGGGGCAGGAAGGGTGGTGGTGGGGGGTCATAGAGCCCCCATTAGACTGAGGGAACGCACCCAGGCAAAGAAGGTTTCCAGCGAACCTTTATGCTGTACCTGCTTACTGCTCAGGCCCTGGGGACCACAAGGCGTGGACTTGCCCTGCTCAAGGGAGGCTGACAGCTTAATGTTGAGGGCTCAGCGGAGGTATGTGTGACAAAGGATCAGGTTCCCCCTGGGTCTGCAGCACCCCTGAAGGCGTGGGCCTGCTTCTCTGTGTCTGTCTCTCTCCTTCCTGTCTGTCTGCCTTGGTTCCTGTCTCTGTCATATGGGATCCTCGGATTTCGGGGCAGGAAGGCCCCTCTTTTACTCCTGAGGAAGCTGAGGGACAGGGAGGAACAGCGACTTGCCCAAGGTCACACAGCTATTTTGGTGTCCTGTTTTTCCCTTGTTTTTTACTTCTTTCTATCATATGAGTCTCTCTTGTCTGTGTTTGCAAAACAGACCCAGAAAGGCGAAGTCTCACCGAGAGAGAGACGGTCCCCTCCATAGCAGCAGAGGGTGTCCCAGGCACAGAAACATTCTTGCACAAAGAGGAAGGGGCCCAGTGCTGCTCTGGCCTGGGAAGTAGTAAGGGGTGTGGGCTGGAAGTGGACTGTGCCACCATGCCACTGGACTGGTCTGCCAACATCCTTTCTGCTGGTGGGAGGAATCCCCTCACTAGAGGTGGGGGTTAAGGGGCAGACTCCCCTCCACTCATCTCTGGGGGCTGGGCCTGGCCCCATTGGCTAGCCAGGGTTCCCTGGGGTCCTGGGACTTAGGCCAGGCAGGTAGGCTGGGGCAGAGCTGCTGCTGGCCCCCTGCGGTTTAGTGATCACGGGAAAATGGGGGCTGGGTTTAGGGATGGGCCAGAACACTGAAATCAGGGATCCTCAGCCTGAGAGCTCTGTCTCCTTTCTCTCTCTCTCTGTCTCTCTGTCTCTCTGTCTCTCT